CACTAAGAGTGTGTGTTGGATAGAATAATTTAGATTTGGTATTTGTGATTTGGATTTCTAAATGTCAAATCATTTGTTTGAATATTAATTAAATTTTGTATTTGGATTTGTGACAAGTTCATTGTATGATTTTCAAATACATGTCTAGTGTAATTCCTGTCAACTTCAAATACATTTCATCAACTATTAATTTGAAATTTCTCATAACAAAGGATTGGACTTGTTTGTAAAATTTAAAAAGTTAAGGTGCTATAGTGTGAAGCAGAACATATAAAGGTACAAAAATGTAATTTAATAAATTTGGGTACCAAAATATAAGCTACCAAAATTTGTAGTGACCAAAAATTCAAAATTAAAATAAAAAATCTAAAATCTAAACTGCCAACAAATTAGAAATCATGAGTATCAACACAACAAATTTAAATTACATGTATTTCAAATGCTAATATTTTAAATACATACATTTTAAAAACATGTACTTCAAACACATTACATTTTAAATATATCTATCCAAACGAGCACTTCTACTATGCTATAAAGTATTGGTGCTTTAATGTACAACTTAAAGTTGTACCATAACGTTAAATGTATAAGTTCAGGTTGTACCATAAAGGAATTTGTGCTCTTATGTTATGGTACACCTTTATAACTTAAACTTGTAGCATCAAATGAAAGTACAAGCAGTGGCGGAGCCAGGATTTGAAATTACCCATGTCCTCTTTTCAAAATATAAATATAATTAATTAATTAATTAATAAAATTAAAATTAATAATATCCAAATAATCCATTCATAGATAAAGAAATTACCACTAATACAATCATTGTTTTCACAAACAACCACGACGGGTTTTCATATTCTGAAAGAAATGCAAAATACATTCGTTGTCTACATGCGTAAGTAAGTCTCTTTCAATGTATCCTACTAAACAATCATTAGCAAACTGATCTCCAATTCGACTTCGAAGCTTGTTCTTGATATAGCTTAAAGCTGAAAATGCTCTTTCTACACTTGCAGTTGCAACTGGAAGAGTCAAAACTAGCTTCAGAAGCAAATAAACAGACGGATATGACTGATGCACTTTTGTCTCCACCATTACTCGAGAAAGTTCATCAATTCCTTTTAATCTAGCAAATCTCTCATCAGCAGTAACATCACGATGATACCCAATAAACTGTTGTCGAATAATAGTATCATGGATGAAACCAAACTCAGCAGGATAAAATCTAGTAAGACACATCAGTTTCTCCAAGTCAAAAGCAGCGAATTCAGACTCCGGGCTAAAACAAGTCATGCAAGTCAACAATCTGGTATTCACTTCATCAAAGCGATTATTCAACTCTTGCAGCTGCATATCCACAACCGTGTAAAACAGTTCAACCTGAAAGTGATGTAGGTTTGTGATATCCGGAGCTTTGCGCCTTGACCGTCCTGGAAGAACATACACATCATGCATAATAGGAATGTGAATAGAATCTTTAGTGCAGCTTGAAACTACATCATCAAGCAAAGACTCCCATCCATTGTCTCTCATCTCTTGTAATCTGGTCTTTGACACACGAACAAGTTTCATGACATTTACAATGTCTTGATCTTTCCTTTGCAATGCTAGTGATAGCTCATTCGTTATCGCTAACACTTCAATCATCAACTTCAAAATGAAGACAAAGTTAAAATCTTGAAGTGTAATCGACATACGCCATGCATCAATAGCTATATCTGTCTCAGAAGTAGGGTCATTCTGAATTGTATCCAACACATCAATAATAGCAGAAAACATGCTATCCAAATTGATAAGCGCCCCATAGTAAGAACCCCAACGAGTATCACCTGGTCTTTTAAGAGCCATTTCTTGATTCAATCCCCTTCCAGTCTCTCGTTCATTAGCAGCTACAGCCTCAGCAATCTTCTCAACTTGAGCATCCCGAATAAACTAAGATCGTTTGCAAGATGCTCCAATCAGATTCATCACACTATTGACAGTCTTGAAAAAATCACCAACTTCAAGATGATTCTTAGCTACAGCAACAAGAGCCAACTGAAGCTGATGTGCAAAACAATGAATGTAATAAGCAGAAGAATTTTCAGCTAAGATCAAACTCTTCAACCCATTGATTTGTCCTTTCATGTTGCTAGCTCCATCGTAGCCTTGTCCCCTTATCCTTGACATACTCAATCCATGTTTTGAAAGCATAGTTTCAATTTCACCCTTAAATGTCAAGGCTTTGGTATTTGCCACATGAGTAGTACCAAGAAACCTCTCCATAACCAACCCTGATCATTCACATAACGTAAAACAATGGCCATTTGTTCCTTGGTTGAAGCATCACGGGTCTCATCAACTAATATGCAAAAGAAGTTATCTCCTAGATCTTGAATGATTTTTTTGGTTGTTTCAGAAGACATTGCATGAACAAGATCTTTCTGGATATCTGGGGAGGTCAATTGGAGATTTTTTGGAGCATTTCTCAAAACAACTCTTTCTACTTCTTCTCTACCACAAGCATGAAACTCCAATAGCTCAAGAAAGTTACCTTTGTTGCTTGAAGATGATGATTCATTGTGCCCACGAAAAGCTAATCCACCCCGCATAAGAAACTTTATGCACTCAAGTGAAGCCATCAATCGAGTTCGATAATCTGTTTTGGTTTGATCTGATTGTTTAGATAAACTAGCTGCAATGCCTCGTGATTGCTTCAACAAAAGGTCCGTATTGCCTTTAGCTTTGTTGTGGAAGCTGTTATGCCTGCCCACATGATCAGCAAACCACTTCTTTCTATTCCATCCTCTGAAACCTTCACCAACAAAACCATCATGTGCTCCACTTTTCTTACCAAACAAATAACAGTAGAGACAAAATGCTGCATCTTTCTCAATACTATATTCAAGCCAATTATACTCTAGAAACCAAGATGAACGGAATCTGCGTTTCTTCCCACTAAAGTCACTATATGGAAAACGATGACCTTTAGGTTGGCACGGACCATTTTCAAGATAAAACCTTCTAACTTCATCTTGCACATCAGGATGAAAACTAGAAACTTTATCTCTTAATCCCGCATCCATTTTCAATGAATTCATATCAAACCGGCTTTCTTCATATTCAAAGGAAGACTCACTTTCACTTTCTTGAGATGAAGACTTACTTTGTAGTGAAGTTTCATTTATCGACACCGATACATTTGATTGTCGAATCTCGGAAGGAACCACCACCGTTGAAGGAGGAAAAGTTTGGGCTTGTCTACTTCCACTTCCTTCAAAATCTTGGGCTGTAGTAATTGGGGAAGTCTTGTTCTTCTTTGGAAAGTAATACCTCTCCATTTGAAAGATCTAATTTGCCAAGATAAGCACACAATAAGCAACACAATTTCAGTTCTATTTACATATCAACAAACACAACTATCATGAGTTACATCGGTGAACAACACAATATAATTTCAGGTTTCAATTTCACAGCTTACCTATAACAAAATGGTGAAATAGAATGGAAGGATTGCCACCCAACACCCGCTGCCGCTTGCCTGTGGACGATGACTTTTGCTGCTGCCGCAAGGAGGTGCTTAGGAGAACGAAAGGCAAAGGCCTAAGGGGAAAGTAAGAAGAAAGGCCGAAATGGTTGGGGTTGCTGGGTTGGATCAGTGATGGTCGCAGAGGAGGAAAATCCCCTTTCCCCTGCCGCTGAAGAGGCCGACTGCTGCTGTCTCTCTCGTCTGTCTTTCTGCTGTATGAAAAATGAAAATACGAAGAGGGTAAAGGGATGGGATTAGGGGGTCGTTTGCTTCATGGATTTAAAAATGAGGGTTTTGTAATTTAAAAACCCAAGGATTTATCAAGTATTTGAGGCATCATGGATTTGTAACAATCCTTTGTTTGTTGGGATGTTTTTATCATGGATTTAAAGGTGTGGGATTTACTACTTGAATTCAAAAATTACATTACTACCCTTTTCTATACGTTTGACATGTTTATGATATGTACACAAAACAAGGACAAAACTTCAAAATTACCTTACTATCATTTTCTATATGTTTGACATGTTTATGATATGTACACAAAACAAGGAAAATACATACTAATAAGCATAATGTTGCCACATGGACAATAATAATAAACGAGAAAATTCTGTTTTAACTTTTAACGTAACATAATCAATTACCAATTCTTTGTCCTCCTTTTCAAAAAGACATATAACAACATATATTAGAATCGGGAGAACAAAGAATTACACGTTCCATGAAAAGGTCAAAGAAAACTAGAACACAAGAAATGATATAAAAAATCTAACTCATGTTTGCACATTAATTGAACGTTTATATTATTCATTTATTGTTAATTATAATGTATAATAGTTAAATTTGAGGGCAACCTTGGAATATTAAAAGTGCATGAGGGTATATGGGTAAAATCTCATCAAGGATTTATGCCATATTCCAAATCCCACATCAACAGGTGGGATTTATAAGTCCGTGGGGTCCACGAATTTGGATCATTAAAATCCGTGGGTCCCACGGATTTGGTCTCCAAAAAAGGTGCAAGCAAACAACGGATTGTACCTAAATCCTTGATAGTTGGTTTTTTTGTACCAAATCCATGTACCAAATCTTTGAAGCAAACGACCCTTAGGTTTTTGTTTAATTGGGATTCCGTTTAAGAACGAATATATTTATATTGTTTCCATTTATAATCAAACAATTGGATGTAGCGTAGCAAAGCTACGCTGTGTGAACTGAAGGTTCTGGGTTCGATACTTGTGTGGAACATATATGGGGGTATTTTTTTCCAAGTCAAAAATGACCCCTGTCCTGTGACAGGGGCAAAAGTGGTTGCCTCCGCCTCTGAGTACAAGTTTAACTTGTACCATAAAACAATTTGACAAAAGAGTATAGGTACAATCTGAAGTTGTACCATAACGTTAAAGGTACAACTTCAAGTTCTACCATAAAGCGAAAAACCTATAGAATCAATACTATATAGCATTGTAAAATTACTCCTATCCAAACACAATCTAATTCAATTCAATTCAATTCATAAATCAACCAATTCATGATTTCAATCTATTTTTCACCGCAACAAAATGAAAGAGAATGAAGTTAATGCTGCGGTACGTTTGTTCCCATTAAAGCTGTATATGTGGGGCGGATTCATTCCTTATGTAATCTGTTTTCCTTTGCCGTATGTTCTCTTATGTCGCAATTATACCGGAAGAAAATATTGGCCTAATTTAATTTCAAATAACAATTGGATCATGGAGCGATCAGTTCAGAGCTCCACGTCCTCAACCTCCACCACTATGCTGCTCAATCGCGAAGTGCAGGGACACGGACAGAGACACCAGAAATCCAGAATAAGATAGAAATGAAATGGGCCCGGGAAAAAGCAAACCCGCAAGCCGACGAAACACGAATCACTCCCTCGAATATTCCATCCCCCGGCTCGTACCCGTTTTATTTATCACCGCCCTCAAAAATTAAAAATTTAATAATAAAAGCAAACCAAAACGGCAGCGAATAAAATATGAACCGAAAACAAGGATAGGAACAACCGCTGGCCACTCCCGAAACCACCTATCTTCACAGCCAAAAAAAACAAAAGATTCCCATGTGTACGCGACGCCCCGACTCCGGAATCCCTCCTCCGCTTTCCCCTCTCCTTTCCTTCTTCCCCACTCGCTCTCTCTCTATTTTCCTCATTTCCCCCGTCCTTCGCTCAGTCTCCTCTCTCTCTCTCTCTCTCTCTCCGTCGCCACGCCAGCCATCGATCCTCCGTCATAATCAGAATCCCTCCTCCGTCCGTCCGGTCACCTCCTCCACCAAACCTTCCTCTTCCTCTTTCTTTTTATTTTTTTTCAATTTAATTTTATGCTTGGTGGGAAGCTGTCGTTGCCACAAAGTTTATTCCCTTCCGATTCTCCTTTAGATCCCCTTTTTATTATTGTTATTCTTCTTCTTCTTCTTCCCCCATTCCTCTCTCCCTTCGTCTTCTTCATATTCCCCTCCCCCGACCCCCGATTCCTTTCTCTCTCCCCCCTGGATCCGGATCTTCCTATGCTCCCCCTTCTTCTCCTTCCCTTATCTTCATATATAGCCCTATCCTCACCAGACTGCCAACAAACAAACAAATTTGAAGTGAGATGGATTTCACCGATCAAAGGAAGCACTGCCACGAGTACGTCGACGCCTTGGAGGAAGAGCGCCGGAAAATCCAGGTTTTCCAGCGTGAACTCCCCCTCTGTCTCGAGCTCGTCACCCAAGGTCTGCTTCCACAATCTAATTCAAAACCATCAGCTAGCTACTTACCTTTTTTTTTTCTCGCTTGGATTAATTGTTGATGTGTGATTCCGCAGCGATCGAGGCATATCGGAGGGAGCTGTCCGATTCGACGCCGACGGAGTACACCACGACGGTGCCTGGTCAATCCGAGTGCTCGGAGCACACCTCCAGCGGCGGAGGCCCAGTGCTGGAAGAATTCATCCCTATTAAGCCCCGCGACGACGATGAGGAGGAGGAAAATGAGCACGAAAATCATCGTCACACCAACCACCACAATGAAGATGATGATCATCGGGGTAGCGGCGGCGACGACGGCGAGAGGTCACTGAAACGGAACCGGACCGATAATGAGGAAACCGAAGATAATAAAAGCAGTAGCAGTAACAAGAAATCCGACTGGCTCAGATCTGTTCAATTGTGGAACCAGTCCCCAGATCCACCGCTCCCAAATGAGGTACACCTGGCCTAATTATCTTTTCCCCTATTCTCATCACTGTTTGGTTGCTGAGAAAATCTCCGGAGAAAGAATCTGGAAAAAAAATTAGAGATCGAAGGAGACTGTGAGCCAGAAAAATTAATTTGAAATTATACTCTTTTTTAGGAGGTGCCGAGAAAAGCGGTGGTGAAGGAGGTGAGGAGAAACGGATCAGGAGGCGCATTCCAGCCATTCCAAAAGGAGAAAAACAGTAACAGCGGCGGCGGCTTTGTTGGGAAGAGCAACGGTGGTGGTGGTGGTGGTAATCATGACAATACCATCACCGTCGCTACTGCTGCTGCGACTACTCCATCCTCGGTCCTCAGTTCCAGCGCGGCCGCGGCGGGGACCAGCGGCGGCGCTCCCAGCGTCAGCAATACGAATAGCAACAAACAACAGAAGGATGTGGATAACAAAGAAGCGCAGGCGCAGCAGAGAAAGCAAAGGCGGTGCTGGTCTCCAGAACTACACAGAAGATTCCTTCACGCTCTCCAACAGCTCGGCGGTTCACACGGTCAGTAACGTAACCCACTGAATCGAACCGAGTCATTCTAGTCTGGTTAAAGTGATGATGATCCGTAATTAATCTCTCTCATTACCATTAATACGATCTCATTATTATCGTTTTGTGGTTCAACAGCTGCGACACCGAAGCAAATTAGGGAGCTAATGAAGGTGGATGGGCTCACTAATGACGAAGTTAAGAGCCATTTACAGGTTAGTTGCTGCTCATTTAATTCCGATCCCCCCGACAGCCCTCGTGATTCTATTTCCGATCACCGGCATCTCTTTTGACGGTGGGAAAACGTGGTGAAATGATGAACAATAATTAACTAAACCCTTTCCACTAATCAGCCAATAATTAAGCTTAGGTTAGATTTAATTTTATTAATTATATTAGCAATAAGAAATCTTTTTTACTTTATTAGAGAATCCAAAGTTAAGGAAAAAGAAAGAGTTGATGGTTGCGGAAAGGTTACGTAACCGGAAATCTGTCAATCTGATGTCCTCTTTTTTTCCGATGGCAGAAATACCGTTTGCACACAAGGCGGCCGAGCCACGGGGTGCAGAATACCAGCAACCCGCCGGGCCCACAGTTCGTGGTCGTCGGAGGGATATGGGTGCCATCGTCGGCGGAATACGCAGCGGCGGCTGCGGCAGCAGCAGCAGCAGCCGCGACGTCTCCCCGAGAAACGACTCCGAGCGGATCGATATATGCGCCGGTGGCGAAGACGGTGGCTGCTCAAAGGCAGCAGGCTAGGAGTACGGAGCAGTTGCAGTCGGAAGGAAGAGGCAGCAGCCGGAGTGAAGGCGGAGGAGCTCATCACCCCTGTTCGCCGAGCACGTGTTCGTCCACTCACACGGCCACTAGCACGCCGGGGATCTAATGTTTCCCTTTTTTTTTTTTGGGTCTTGAACAGAAACAAAGGTGTAAAATTTTTGTAAGATCATGTGATGATACGATAGATGAAAGAGGTAAGAAGAAAGGCGTGGCGCGTGCGTGTATTATTTTTGTGACAGATTAGATTAGATAGACATGAACAAGCGATGGGTTGGTTTACATTAGGAGATAATGACAGTGGCTGGATCTTTGAATTTTGAACGTTGAATAGTGGTTGAGAATAAATTAATTGGCAAATCTTTCTTCTTACTTCACGATGATGACTTGCTTAAGATAGAGAAATGATTGTCTTGGTTTCTTTTCTTCTCCGTCAATACTTTGGCCAAGCAATACCAAATTTGTACATGTGGAAGTTCTATCTTTGATAGGAGATAGGAAATGATCACCTCTTACATTAACCTTGTTGAAATTAATTATCACATTGTTAATGAACCTTGGCAAAGAAAACACTGGGAACGTCAAACCACTGGTATGCCGGCTGGTACAATCGAGTTCAACTGATTTTGATGAAAAATCTGTTGAAATACCACCGACACCGATATGAAGTGGTAGTTAAAATCTATAAATAAAAATATCAAAGATGTCGTTTTGATGGAATTAAGAAGTCGTTTTGGAAGAGGTGTATGTTAAATCATTTTATTGTTACGAATCACTATGATGTAAATGCATGTATTAGTACAATAGATGTATTTTGACATTACATTGTTTGGTTGTTGAGATTACAATTTATGAACTGATTGTCATAAAGTTACTTTATATAGAAATATCACATTTTTCCTCCACTTTTAATATAAAACAAATGATATGATTCCAAATGGCCAACTCTACACGTTTAAATTACTTGACGAAGAAGCTATCGAAGTTGGGAAGAAGAAGGACAGAATTTGGTTAAGTGTTGTAACAGTGTCAGGTAGCCTACTTTGGAGGCTTGGTTCTCTCAATTGGCTCACTGAAAATTCAAGTTTGATAGCTTGTTTTGAACATAAGAAGTTTATCTACACGGTGGTATGCTTGGTTGCTCAAGGGAAAGCCAGGAAGGTTATATTCCAAGCTCACCAAAAGTCTGTGGCAAAACTGGAAAATTGTCGGAAAATGGCTAATTCTGGAAACGAGTTTGAGAAGCATACTTTGGAGCTCAATTCCAGGACCATGGATATGATTCCAGTCCAAAGGCTTCCACAACATGAAATTAGGTATGTTTTTATACAAAGGGAAGGAATTGGATGAAAGATTGGAGATTCGGAAGGCCTCGAACGAACGACACGAAGTTAGTACGAAAGCTGTTTTTGGACTGTTTGCTGGCAGCTTACTTGTACTTGAAGAAAAGGAGTTTTGAGTCCGAATTTTGTAACATTTTTAGAGTTTGTTTTTACCTTAATTGTTTCCTAGTTCTATTAGGTTTGTGTTAGGTTTTTATTCTCTTTAAATAGCTTTCAATTTCACGTGTAAAAAGAGAGAAGACTTTGATTAATTGAAAAGAAACCTTTGATTTTGTGCAAGTTTTTGAACTTGTGTGAGTTTGGTGGATTCGAAACTTATGAGCTTTATATCGATTGAATATTCCCTTCAATCTTGGTCAAGCAACTACCCCTTTAATCCAATCGAGCGTTCCTCAGGTGTGGAATCGTCCTTTTGGTTCCTTTTAATCCAAGTTCGTATTAAGAACGCTTCATTCTAGATTCGAGCTCAATCGAGTCTTCAATTGAGTCGTTAACTGTGTGACTTTGATAACATACACCCTCAGGGATGTATTAACAAAAAGAACTATGGACATAAATGAAAAAAAAAAGAAAAGGTTAAACTATTCAACCAATAATCGGTTAATCACAACAATCTCTCATTTTTGTTGATTGTAGGTGAGACCTACACAAAACAATACATGCAATGTTTTGCAACTTGACTCTTCCAAACATTGTGTTGTAGATAATACATGTATTTAATAAGTACAATATTAACAATCGCAACTTCCAAACAGTCCCTAACTAACAAAAAGAAAGAATTTTTTGGGTTCAATTATGAACATTTAGATGTTGATGTTATCTAATGCATTCAAGTATCAAAGTTTGGATGTTGACGTTAAATGTTACATTTAAATATAATAATTTATCATTTTGTTTATAATTTAATATTTTATTTGAATATGGATGTAGATTATATGTAGATTGTGTCTATACATAGCTAGACTTGGAGTTCACTGATGTTCTTAAAAATTGAATATTACTAAAGCTTATATATCTAATGAACTTTGAGTTGATTGTAATCTTTAGATAATCTAGCATCGACAAGAATACGATGCTTAAATTGGAAGGATATTCAAAAGCCTATATATTTAATGGATTTTTATGGTGTCTTTTTTGCCAAGTTGCGTCTTCAAACCCCTCTCCTCAATGCCTCCCTCTGCTACTCGATTGTGTTAAGATAAATTATAAAAAAGCACAATTCAGTTGTTGTTAATTGTATCCCACTTCCTTGTGTGTTTTGGTAAAACTAACACATAAACTGATTATAACCCAATCGGATCATTTCATTTACTAAACCGCCGTAACGGTATAAACTCGTTTAATAACCTTGTTGATAGACAAATGTTGTGCACATAAAAATGTTATGGTACTATAGCTTATTTAAACCTAGTTGACAGTTGTTTCGTCAATCAAAAAATTTCTTTGATACAATTGTATTGCTATGCATTCGTACTATTTAGTCACAAGAAGAGTCTCCCTTTGCACATTTTGAAGTTGCTTAATAGAGATCTTGCCTTATACTCTGTTTGGGAAGAGGGTAAATGGGAGGAGGGTGCAAATGTGAGGGTAAACACAGTTTCCAACACATTTACACATGTTTAGATAATTTGGAACAGTAGGAGGGTGCAAACTGTAAGTGCAGAATTACTACTTACCCCTCAAATTGGGGTGCAAGGGAAGGAAGGAAGAGGGGGGGGGGGTGGAAAAATTATGAATTTTTATTTTTTAATTGTTTTATAATTATATAATAATTAATATTATCAATTTATGAAAATTATAATTATTATAGTTATCATTAATATTGACATTGTTCAGAGTTGACCGTTTGACTCCGAGAACAAGTTTATCAATGTAGTCTAGTCAAATAGAGATATTTTTGTTAACTCGAATTTGCATTGAAAATTAGAGATAAGAAATGTTTGTGAAACGTGTTTGACTAAGTTTGACCATATTCAATTTAACGATAGATTAGACACGAGAACTTTGTAGCATGACCAGTTACGAGTTGGGCTTCGAGTTCGCTCAACCAATAATTATTACAGTTTTTATAATTAATTATTATTTGAGCACTATTATATAATAATAATTTTTATTAAAATATATTTATTATTTTATTTTATTATTTTGTGATAATATTTTATAAATTTATAAATATATTTTATAATAATATAGTATTTACTTTTAACTCTATTTACACCCCCTACTTTTTCATCCAAACAATAATTTACCCCTCCACTTACACTCCCATCAATTTGCACCCTCCTGCAATTTGTCTCTCAACTTGCACCCCCCTCGGATCTGCACCCCTCTTGTTGCCAAACATAGTGTTAGTAATCCTTCATCAATGTAACATTAGGTGTTTGTATCATCAACTTAAATTTGAATTCTCTCTAATCTAATTAGGATATCGTCTTATCACATTTGAATCTTACTAGGAAGCAAATCTAAAAAGGATTCATTTCCGACAATAAGGATTATGACATTAATCGTTCTCATATGGGGTGGACACTCCTTACAGACAGGTGTGTCGGTTGACACGCTTTTGTCTGCAATATTTATGAGAGATCCAGATTTTGTTGGTATAAATAATTTGAATATGAGACCTCTGACACATCTCTAATAATCATAACCAACACACCTTTATTGTACTACAAGAAATTTGGTTATCATAAAGTTATTAAAAAATATAAATATAGAAGTTATCGGACTTCAGACGGGATAGTTAATTAGTTGGTTGTATGAGAGTAAATAATTAATTGACTACTTAGTATTTAATGAATATGCAGAGAGATAACTATCACCTTAAAGATAAATAGTAAATTACCATAAAAAGCTAATAATTCTTTTCCATTTGTACCATATTATTCCTTGTTATTATAACTTAATAATAAATGTGTATGCACATTAGTAATGACAAAAAAAATTATATGTTCAAATTTTTTTTTTTAATTTATCCACTCAAAGATTTTAATTTATCTAATTTGAAATTTGGAGTTAGAGAATCTAAGAAGATAAAGTATGAAAGTTCTGAAATTAGATTGAATTCTAATAAAAATATGAGTCTATAAGCTCCAAAATTTAATCATCTAGTTTTAACTTTGAAATTAGAAAATATAGGAAGATGAAAGAATCCTTCCAAAGAATATTCCTCCAATACTTTAATATATCGTTTAGACAGGAGCGACAAAAGATATTCCGGTACATAAGAATCTTGCCTTGTCCAAGATTCTGTCCATATTTAAGTAACAATTATGTTCCCATTATTATTATATTATTTTTGAACGGATTACTTCTTATATTCCTCTTGTTATTGTTTAGTGCACAATAAAGAGGAACTTTGTGTGTATATTAGGTACACGTGGGACCAAATACCATAGTTTTGTTCTCTAGATAAGAGGAGTGCACTAAGGACTCCCCAAATGGATTAGTTTCTTTTCAAGGGTTTTGCTTGTAACTTACAAGCAAGCAAGAAAAAGAAGTTGGTGTCTATAAATCTTTGATTTATTAATTGGATACAGAATTAACGTCGAATTTACATATTTATAGGCTAGAAAAGCCTAATAGTTAACCTAATTCTACAAGAATATCCACTCCTATTCGGCTACCCCATCCCAAACGCACAAGGAAAATCACAACGAAAAGGAAAAACACCCAATACCAAAAGCCAAAAATCCAAACTGAAATAACCTCATAAGTTTCTTTGACCCTAAAAGAGCCTTATATATACATTTGGACCCTTATTCTCCCCAAGGGCTAGGGTTTAAGGAGAGGATTAGAAATTCATTATTAAAAAACGTTTAACATCCACATGGTGTGTTTCATACTACGGTGCCTTCAAATCTCAACCTTATTGGATTCATAGTAAATTATTAGTAACATCATACTTAAGTCACCTCAATTTATATGATTTATGTTTAGTTCAACTTTTAAAAGTATTTTAATACTAGAATATCCAGAAAGAAAATAAAAGGGCATATACGAGATAGAGTAGGAGAGGGGAGGGAAGGAAGGAAGCGAAGACAGGCGACTAAGTGGGATGGATATATAGGAGGACTAAAAATAGATATAATTAGAGTTTCCATAAGTATAATTTAAATTATCTAAAACAATTCTTCATTTAACTTTAATCCTAGTATTAATTTAATACTAAAAAAGATGGTTAGTATTATGCTAATCCTCTAAGAGTTAGCATCCTATGTTCACCC